TGTATGTCTTCCCCGCGTGAGTTTGTCCATATGCAAATATAGAGACGTTAGATCCATCCAGAGCGGATTGCACAAATGGTTGGACATCACTGAACAGTGAAGCTGAGGAAAGCTTAAAGAATAAGTTCCGAATTCTAAGGAATAAGTACAGAGATGTATGAAGCAAATGTACGAATGCTAGCTACTTTTTAAGACAAATATTGGAAACAGTTCTTAAGCTTAAGGTAAGATTACATTTACAGTGAAGTATGGCATCTCACCTTGTCCAACATGAGGTCCATAAACTCGGTCAAACTCAAATTCCTTCTTGGGATTGGACAGAGTGTCATCACTAGTGTTTACGCGTATAGTGCAGTTATCAGGAAATTCAATAATAGAGGGACCCTCATCTTCGAATAACGGTCTTGCTCGACAAAATACCTTTACGTTCCCTGAAAGGTAAAACATAAATTACATGTTCAGGTCCATATAGAACAATCCAAATTGAGGGGATATCAACAAACTCTAGATGAAGAACGAGGACAGAGAGAAAGGCTGATCACGTGGGTAATGGAAGATCTGCACCTTTGATTGTCAGTAAGTCATTGAACAGTCTTTTCTTCTCACTGATAAGTGGAGATATCCTAGCCTCAGTCTCAAGGGCAAATTGATCTGTGATAAGCGAACATGACACATTCCCCGAGTTTTACCACAACAAAGCACATAACAGTAACAAAAATGCTGTCACAAGAGATATAGATACATGAAATCCCAATATTGAATAAGCGACCAAAAAAAATTCTTGTCTTCTAAACATTTATTATCCATAAATCCAAAATTTCTTAATTTTTGCCAGTAAATTAACATTGTTCTCAAAACTTCACATGGAATATACTGGAGGAAACTAATAACTTACCCAATTTACGACTTTTCTCAGCGAGAACACCTAAATAACGTGTAACCCTTTCAAGCTTTGCATTAGAGTACTCTTGAAGATCAGTAGCTTCCTGTCTCAATTCTACGTAATCCTCCTTTGCAAGCTGTTCAACCAAAACTCACTTTTCTTAAACAAAAGCTTCGACTAAAGAACTCTTCGATACCTGAACTTTCATCAGTTATCCCTAATACACAACCGCAATAACATTTCCCCTAGAACACTTACTATCTCAGCTCCATACTCGTTTAAATACAAACAAAAAAAAAAAATCATCCTCTTTCATAATTTAAAGATAGCTTAAGACAGAACATATAACTATCCAATCCCACTCACATTCAACCCCAAAGATAATAATCCCTAAAATTTGCCATCTCGGGAGAGACATTAAGAGATTTCTGAGGCAATTTTGCACACCTGAACTTTTTCCTTCAAACTCTGAACCTTAGACGCAAGCTGCGACGAGTGCGGTGAATGGGAGTTCGTCGGGATCGAGTACCGTCGAAGCATCGAGGACGGAGTCCGATGAAAACCCTCCTCACTCGAAGACGACTTCCTAGATTCGAACCCAGTCACCTCCCAGTTCCACCTATTGGTATTGTTATTACTCTTCTGCTCCGCCATTTTTCAATCCACAACAAAAAAATTATACCCTAATTCTATTCCCGATTTCAGCAGAAAACCCAGAAGAATTCTGCAGCAGGAAACCTCAGATTCCAAGCGAAAGCATTCAAAAGTTTTTGAATTTATTACCTCCAAATCCAAATTATTTTCTTTTTTTCTTTTTTTTCCGGTTTGTCTCTTTGTCTCTGTGAGATATATAAAAAAAAGAAATGAAAGGCGGAGGCTGCTTTTTTTTCCTATGAGAATGATACGATGTCGTTTTCGATATTTTGTCCGATTTTCTTTTAAATAAATAAAATTGACAGAGACACCAAAGCGTCTTTTGAGACGCAAAATATATTGTGCTGTGCGTTAACGACGCCTTCTCGTGTTCGATTCTGGTTCATTATTTTATTTCCATCCTTCTTTATAATTACCAAAAAATAATCAGTAAAATTCTCAAAATCAGACAGAGTCACTCAGTGTACTTAGTAGGATAAATAATTAAGTTTTCGTTTCGTTTTTGTTTATACGATTTGTCAGGAATTTACCAAATAAAATGATATATTGGTTTGAATACAGACAGGAGACTAGAAAAATAGACACAATGAACACTTCAAAATTACGGTGCAATGAGTAGGATCTACAATTGCAGTCTCTAATATACATCATTACGATAAAGGATGGCATAAGATGATAATCATGACAATGTGCAATGAAGATCGAATTTTAATTTGATTAAATGATCATCACACACAGATCTGTGTGGTGCTTATGATTCTTTTTGTTATTTAATTCTTTTAGAATTTTGGCCCGACCAAATAGCGTGTCATTGAAGGTAAAATACACATAAAAATATTGATTACAGATTTTGGTGGGTCTGCTTTGTGAAAGAAGAACCACACAATTGGATAACATGAGACTGCGAGGGAAAATTTCTGAATGTTCATAACAGTCATGTAGTTAAAATATTCTTTTTAACAATTTTAGTACTAGGCCCAAAATTTTATCATTTTTGAAGCTCAATATATAGGGCCATTACTTAATTGGGTCAGGCCCCCGTTATTAAAAACTAATCTAAAACAATAAACTGTTGTAAAGAGCTAAATCGTATTTAGTGTACAATGCTTAAGACATACTTACAAAAATCAAATGATGTTATTGGATTCTAATTCTAGTACTATTTTGTTGGTATATATATATACATTGTTTAAGTAAGTGTTTCTCCATCTCATGCTCATCCACTGATTTAGACTATTGGTTAACAAACAGAATTATTAGATTTTTGGCATTGTGGTACTCTTTTCTTTAATATATTTAGCTTTATATAATAAGATAAATAAGTCCATCAATCGCGTTGTTTAATAATTATTTTTACCAAAAATATAAACCGAAAATAAGTAAGTAATTTCAGAACTTTAACTTTATACATTTTTAATGTATTGTATAATGTTTACCTGTGCTTTTAAAACCTTTATTGTATAACTGTCGTTCTCTTTTATATATTGTATATTATGAAGAAAATAAAAAGATAAATCCTGATAAAGAAGAAGAATCACATTCTCACGCCAACAAATCGTATTGTGCTGTTTCATAATAAAATCACGTCCATCATATATTATATATGCGTGCGTAATCAAAACAAATCTCTCACGTTATCGCCGAATCAAACTTTTAATGTTAAAATCCTCAGTTTTAACGTATCATTATAACTTGCGAGATGGTACTCATATATTTTTTTTCTGTTAGGTTCATTTACCAACATGACTATTTATAAAACTTTGTTTAAATTCTTGCCTAACATAAAGTGCATGATTTTAGGAGTGATCTTCGTTCTCGAGTAACTTGCGAGATGTTTAGCCAAACGTAGAAATATTAAGTATTATTTAGACAGAACTAGGACACATTTATTTATCGGGAGATTAAAAAGTACAAAAAAAAAAAGGTGGTTGAAAAGAAGAGAGGAGAGATTAAGAAAGGACACGAAGCGAGATGAGTGGATCTTTGTGATAAATCTTAAGTCAAGCTGTAACAAGAAGAACACAACAAAGTGTCGGTGCCTCTAAGTCTACACAAAGTTCACAATAATTCATTTTTTTCTAATAAAATATTATTTATTTTTCGCAAATTCACAATAAGACATCAAAAGCCGAATTTCGTTCCACCATGCGTATATATAAGCTGTCTTTTCGGAAAAAATAAAAAAGCTGTCTTTATCTGTTCCAACGGTCCAAAAATCTAATAAAATAAAATATTAATAATGCACTCTTATTATTCCCAAGGTTTTTTCACAGCCTTTTTGATTATTTGTTTGTTAGTTTCTTTTTCCTCCGAGGATTGAAGATCATGAAATAGGCAAATAGATTTCTTCTGTTTTTAACAGCTAATAAGCAAATACCTGTACTGCTGTAGATAGTGCCACTAATCTAATCCACGGCCATTAGATATTTGTCTATGGTACAATGTCTCTGTGTCACAGTCTTAGTGATGGTGACGTAATATTAGGCTTTTAAAATTGTAACAATTTTTTCTTAATTAGATAAATCTTTTTGACGATTAAGGAACGTGTTAACGAGTCGACAAAAAAAAGGAACGTGTTAAAGGAGTTTGTCACTTAGCCAATAGAGAAATCAATTACAGTCTCTAAGGCTTGATAGTAATCCTAAAAAAATGTAATTCTGTACTAATCACACAATTATATAGAATCGTGAGTTACTACTTTTTAGTCATTATATTATTTAGATGCTAATAATCGTAAACAAACTTAGGAAAATGAAAATAATATTGATTTTGAAAGAATTAAAAATAGATTCAAAAACGAGTGATTTTAAAGTACGTAATATATAGTTGATTTTCAAAGTATAATTAAATAGAAAGTCAAATTCAATAAATTTTCTCATTGAATACCCCCTCTTATTTAGCAACACATATAGGAAAGATCCAACCAAAATTAGTCATAGAAAGAAAGATATATATATATATATTTATAACATATTAGGTATCTCTTGATTTTTTCCCTTAATACTTGCAAATAAGATGCCGCATACAAAAGAAAGAAATATATATAACATATGAGATATCTCTTGATTTTTTCCCCCTTAATGCTTGCCTATTCAGATAAGATGCCTCATACAAAAATTGTTTTCCATATACATTACGTCGAAAGTTAAAAGTTAGTAATTAATTAAGAGTCAATATATCATTTCCTATTTTTGTTTTCGTCATTTTGTGTGATTGTCTATAATTATGCAACGTTGTGTCATTCAGGGGTCTAAAAAAGTAGTAATTAACTAGTTTCCCGTTTTCGTGTCACGAGGATAAAAGTGAAATTCGCCGCAAGAACCCAAAAAAAAAAAAAAAAAAAAGTGAAAATTCAGTGTAATGTTGCAAGAAAGACGGGGACCCATGGAGAGAGACAGACAGCAAATTTAATGAACAGGTGTCCATGTGAGACGCATTCACGCGCTCTCTCTTTACACTATAAACCGTCCTGGGAAATTGATGAAAGCTTCTTCCTTTTTAATCCTCCTAACATTAAGTGAGAAGACGAAGAAGAAAGACTAAAACCCCAAAATAGTGGAAGATTTAGAGGAAATAGACAAGAGAGCATTCTGATTCATGTGATTCTGGTTTCGTTACTTTTTGATTTTCATCTCGTGCTTCTCTTCTGTGTCGTTTTCTAGGCAATTTCGTGATCGTTTATCCTCAGGCGACTGTTTCTTTTCGGTTTCTGTGTATTGATTGATTATAAAGTCTCGAACTTTCCCGGAAACTGGATCTGGGTTTTGCCGTTTCTACTCTCCTGAGAAAGATAAGATGAATCTTTACGGGAAAGACAATATCGGCCTGAGAAAAGGGATTTTCTCTGTGCTCTCATTCGTCGTTTTGCTGTTCAACGCTTCGACTTCGTCTTCATCATCTGTAAGTTTGACAAAAAAAAAAATTCTCTCTTTTCCTATTTTGCCCGGGAATCTTTGGTTTGGTTCCGGGGGAAAAAAAATTTCCCTCTTTTTCTCGGGAAAGTTCACTCGACCATGGTTTCTGGAATCCAGAAATAGTAGTTTCAACTTTCCTATTGGAGAAATTTCTCAATTTCAATACATTTATAGAAAGTTTAAGAGAAAAGATATCAACGGTAGTTGCGTTTGTTGATTGACTCTCCTACTGTGGTTTGTTGAATTTCGATTTAATATCTCCGTATTATTAGATAATATGACTAGTTTGGGAACGTAGACTTGTTTATTTTCAAGTCAAAGGTCTCTCTCGAGTTAAGTAGCTTTTGATGAAATAATACCATAATATTTTTTGTTTTGCAGGAAGCGATCACAATAAAGCCAAGACATTTATCTTTGCTAAAGAGTGCTTTACAACGGGTAAGATAACATGATTTTAAATGATACTTCGTGTTCTATTTGTTGATAATATCTCGATTTCAGAAAATAAATGAGTTGATGATATTTTCTGTGTGTGTGTTTTGATCTCTGTTGTAATTTCAGTCAAGTGGAGAACAGTCTAATCTTTGGAGGCCAATGATTGATCAAGGATGGAGTCCATGTATTGATTTTGGAAACTCCCCTTGTAAGTTGTATTGACAAAAAATGAAGTTTTCTCATTCGTTTCACATTATAGTAATTTTTGCCTTACCTCTCTCTTTTACTTGTTGTATTGGAGCAGCATTGCCGGATAAAACCGAGGGATATATTCAGGTATTTCTCGATGGAGGACTGAACCAGCAACGAATGGGTATATGTGATGCAGTTGCGGTTGCTAAGATATTGAACGCAACACTCGTGATCCCATATCTCGAAGTAAATCCTGTTTGGCAAGATTCAAGGTAATGTTGCTGAACAGTTTCAGCTTTCGTTTTGTCTTGAATGCTCCCTCGAGTTTTCTAAGCTGAAGTTTTGTTTTTTTTTTGTTTATGCAGTTCCTTTGTTGATATATTTGATGTTGATCATTTTATCGATGCGTTAAAGGATGACATAAGAGTAGTTAGAGAGCTTCCTGAGGAATACTCTTGGAGCACAAGAGAGTATTACGGCACAGCAGTCCGTGAAACTCGAATTAAAACCGCACCTGTTCATGCTTCTGCCAAATGGTATATCGAGAATGTCTCACCGGTTCTTCAAAGGTATGCTTTCTCTTACTTAATCTGACACATGAAACAGTAAGAAGATTATAGGGTTTAAAGTTTGGAGCTTTTTTTTGTTGTTGTAGCTATGGGATTGCTGCTATATCTCCATTCTCTCACCGTCTTTCGTTCGATCACTTACCTGCTGAGATCCAACGTCTAAGATGCAAAGTAAATTTTCAAGCTTTACGCTTTGTCCCTCACATTACATCACTTGGCGATGCTCTTGTGAGCCGTCTTAAAAACCCATCATGGAGAAGCAACAAGGAGAAAAAGAATGTGGATCATTTAGGGGACATGATTAACTCGCACAGCAGACGAGAGCCCGGGAAGTTCGCTGTTCTGCATCTTCGCTTCGACAAGGTATTAATTGCACTCTGTTCATAACAACATTTGGTGATGATGATGTCTGCTGAGTAATTTTGGTCATAAGAGGTTTTTCTTCTTGTTGTTGTATTTGTATATAATAGGACATGGCTGCGCATTCGGCTTGTGATTTTGGAGGAGGCAAAGCCGAGAAACTTGCATTGGCGAAATACAGACAAATGATTTGGCAAGGAAGAGTCTTGAATTCTCAATTCACAGACGAAGAGTTAAGAAGCCAAGGACGGTGTCCGCTAACACCTGAAGAAATGGGACTTCTTTTAGCTGCTTTCGGATTCGACAACAATACTCGTCTCTATCTCGCATCCCACAAGGTCCGATCTTTTTTGGGTTATTGTCATCAAAAACATAAAAACAAGAAACAGAGACTCATGAATTAGGTTTTACTCTTCTTTTGTAAAATTCAGGTATATGGAGGAGAAGCTAGAATCTCAGCATTAAGACAAGTTTTCCCAAGAATGGAAGACAAAAGAAGCCTTGCTTCTTCTGAAGAACGAGCTCGAATCAAAGGCAAAGCTTCTTTATTAGCTGCACTGGATTACTATGTAAGCATGCACAGTGACATTTTCATATCTGCATCACCTGGAAACATGCACAATGCTCTCGTGGGTCATCGAACGTTCGAGAATCTTAAGACGATTAGACCAAACATGGCGTTGATTGGACAGCTTTTCCTCAACAAAAGCATCACTTGGGTCGATTTTCAACAGGCGCTTGGTGAAGGACATGTCAATAGACAAGGACAGATCCGGTTAAGAAAACCAAAACAATCGATTTATACTTATCCGGCGCCTGATTGTATGTGTCATGTTTGATTAGACAAGTCTTAAAAAAATCTTTAGGTTTCTCTGCTAATAAGAGCTCAATTCTTGATGAGGCTGGTTGGTTTATCTTGAGGGTTAATAAAATAATATTCACATCTTTTGATTAAATTCTGAGCATGTTTGAATCCCAACTGAAAACCTGAATTACAAAAGGCTTCGACTCACATCTGGTTATTACAGGAAGCTTAGATTGACACAAATGATCTTAACTTCATAGTTTCAATCACAAAAGTAGTATCTTTCACGAGAACGGAGCAAAAAGGTAGATACCTTTTTTATTTATCAAATCTAAGGTTTTAAACAAATATTCGTTAGTTAGGGTGAATTACTCATAGCACAATCATATGATTTACACAGAACCTAAATTTAAGTAATGAACTGGAATTGCAGGGGTATAAACAAAAATGATAATAGGGTGGTTGGGAAAGGAAGTGGTCAATAGATACCCTCGTGTCTGCCACGTCAGACTCGCGCGGCGAATGGATTCGTGTTTAATATTGTAAATCCATCCTCCATAATTTAGGTATTTATATATTTGGCTCCTAATGTTTCCTCTTTTTATTGTAGTTATGTGTTTTAATTATTTGAAATTGCAAATTAGCCAGCAAAAACAAAATAGATATTTAGATTCCGGTCCCAATGTTTCCCCTTTTTGTCTTATGGCTGACTCAAGAGTATTTAGTATTATCGAACTAAATATTTTTGATAGTTTATATAATGTTATACTTTATGTAAGAACGTTTTGGTTAATGATATATATAGTGCAACTTTTTGGTTACTAATACAAATGCTGGTGACGACGTCAATGATAATTTGAGCAAAGATAATTAAAGACTTCAAGTGGATAATCCCTAGTTTTTAACTCACGACACCCACAAGTGTATAGAATATGCTATACGTTAGATCTTCAGATTCTGATCAACGAACTCATTATCTTTTAATTAGTTTTTTTCTTTTCTTTTAGGTTTGGATTTTGATAAATTTGAACTAAATGTCCGTTACATCACAAAAATCTTAAAATGTCTACATGACTTTTATTTTACACTTCAAAAAAATCAATGAAAAAACAATTCATTGAACTATTCATACGTTAGAATATGTAATACGGAAAAATGAAACGAAGATAGAATTCAAACTTCATTAAAAATAAACATATTACAAGTAAGATATGAGAAAGAGCATTGTAATATTTTAGAGTGGGTTATTTGTTGTTTTTCTTGGGTCATATGAGTGGGTTATTCAGAAGATGCAAATTGGATCGGGTTATGATAGTTTTATATCTGCGAAAGGCATTTGGTTTGTTGTTATAAAGATGTGAAACTTTTTAAACTTAAGCAAATTAGCAATATTACCCTTGAATTGTGGCTGTGAAAAGCTGACCTATTGGAAAAAGGTTGTCCATTCTTTTATATGATATTATAGTTTTCGTCTGTAGGCTGTAGTTGCCAGAATTTTGCAGATTTTGTACAGGTAATTAATATTTTATCAACATGTTTTTTCTGTTAACGTTCAATATTAGTTCTATTGGGTAAATTTTCAGATACGTTTCAAGATCAGCCTGTATTTTCGATTTGTTTTCTTGTTAGCATCCAAGGTTGAGGTTAATTTCCGTCTACATCCATTCAAACAAATTGAAAAACGTCACAGATATGTGTATAATCCCAATACCCTTAACCCTCTGTGAAGGCACTAATTAAAGTTTAATATAGACCTCGTAGATTTAAAGGTCCTGTAATTGAGATTTAATATAAGGATTCGGTAAACGCAATTATTATTAAGCATCTCTATAATAAATTAATAATTATACAAAAATCCATTCAGAAACGAGATGATTGATTCCGGGGAAATACATGAACTTACATTATTTCCAATTGAAATTTCCAATTGAAATTTCCAAGATTTTATAGTCCTCCTTTAAGTCTATATCATCATTATAAGAAAATCGATTCGTTAATAGATCATTTAAAAATGATTTGTTTATACAAATAAAACCGTAATATTCCCCCCCACCCTTTTTTTGTTGTATGCAGAGATTGCTTTAGTTGGATGGAATCAAGTGTTGTGAAGTCTATAGTAGTACGGTAGAACAACAATTGCCACGAAACCAAGTAAACCGCTACCAACCGTCGGATCAATCTTTATTGGTTTTGCAGGAGCGAGGCCCAATAAAAACGGCAAAAAATAAATAAAAGAGAGAAGAAAAAAAAAACCAGAAAAGAGAGATATAAATGAAGCAGAGCAGAAGATGAGCTTCTGTGGAAGTCAGAGAAAAGTCAGAGGGATAGAAGAACCGAGATAGGGAGAGAGAGAGAGCCGAGAGAAGAGAAAAGACGACGAAGCGACGCGATTCCAGGGTTCCTTCGATCGACGATTTGATTATTTTTTCCTTATTTTCTCGGTAATTAACGTTTCGTGATTACCGGAGATTTTTCTCTTCTTCCGACTTTTTCGCATTTCTCTCTGCCGAGATTTCCGGCGAAGCCTTGCCGTGTTTTGTCGGACATGGAGGCTTGATCCTCCCTTGTTTCTTCATTTATTGATCGCTTTCGCTTTTCTATTTTGGCAAATTTTCAATTGGACCACCGATCTGAAGAAGCAGTAATTACTTTCCATTAATGATGAAGAATCCGCTAGAAATAATCCAAATAAACCGGGATCTTCTTTGTGTTTAACCCTGAAATTTCGTTGACGAGAAACAAATCTGAATTCTTTACGCACAATTTATGTTTGATCTAAGTTATGGTTTTAATCGATCACATCATAAACAGTATCAATGGATTGGAAGTTTTCTCTTTGGTTTTCTGAACTTGTTTACAGTCTACTGTTTTTTTGGTCAGTGTCATCATTATAGTGACATTATGATGGTTTGGTTAATTAAAAGTGGATATTTATTGTTAACAGGTCGAAGAAGAAGATAAAGCATCGATCCATGGCCGATTGATAAGAGTTTATCTCCGGGGGTTCGGAGTTTTAGAAAACCTAAAAATAGATGGCAGTCTCTTTCCCTCGTCTTCCGAGGTGGTTGTGTGGTGGTAACAGTAAAGAGAGAGAGAAGAAGGAGTCAATTCCAAAAGGATCTTCTTCACTGAGTCCTTCACTTAAGAAGACTAAGACTGGATCTTCTTCTTCTTCTTCTTCTTCGTCTACGGTGAAGAAGATGAAGAGAGGATGGATTGGAAGAGGAGGGTCAGGAGGAGAGGAGGAGAAGATTGGGAATGTGGTGTTCCCTGAGCCAGATGATCCAGAGTGGTCAATTGGTTGGGTTGAGCCACATGGACCAGGGTTTAAGAGCGAGGATGATAGTGGTGGGTTTGTGGTTCTGGTTCCTTGTTACAAGAAAGTGATGGATGGTTCAGGGAATCAGATTCCAAATGGTTTCTTCTCTCCTGCTCCTGGTAATGTTTGTTTCCATTATCATCATCATCATCATTAATAGCTGAATTATTACCATAATTGCTTGTGTAGTCTTTTGGATTCTGAATTGAATTGTTTCTTGGTTCTGATGATATCTAAACTGTAGATGGGAAGAATATGGAACAGTGGCTGTCGTCTATGGGGAAGCTATAAACTGGAGATTGGGAAGATCAAGACTATTTCTTTGATGTTTCAGTATCAAATAAATCGAAAAAAAAAGAACAAAAAGAAAAAGAGAAAGAAGCAAGATTCGTGGATAGCTTCTGGAGACTTCTTTGGTTTTCTGTTTCAAGTTAGTGACAAACAAAACATCAAGTCATCTCTCAAGAATCTACTAATGGACAAAGATGAAGGTGATGGAGACTTCGCAACATAAAGATGATGAAGAATGGTGAATTGATATGTTATGAATATGATATGATATTGAGTATTGGATATTTTTCATGTGGGTGTTTCAAGTGAAAGCGTTTTCTGCTTCCTCACTTCTGTGGTCGAGATTATTGGGTTTTGGGAAGAAAGAAAAAAAGAATATCTTTTGTTTTGTCTTTTGTGGTTGATGATGTGTAATAGTGTACATGTACATAAGTTTCTGTCTATTATTTCTTTCTAAATCACATGTCATGTGCTTACCCTCGACAACTCAAGAACCAGCAACGTTGTACACGTTATAACCAGAAACTTGGCAAAATCATAAATTTCATAAACAATAATACAAGGTAAACTGAAACATGTTGCAAACGCTTTTGAACAGAGACATAGCTTAACATTTCATTGTTTGTCGTTGGAATCCTTTGGAAGTTGCAAACCCATGAGGCCGAGTAAATTGGAAGCAGGACCAGGAAGTCCTTGTTGTGAAGAGTATGATTCAAGAAGGTTCTTGACAAGGTTGAAATCAGCATCAATTGGTGTAAAATCAGCATCTGAAGATGATTCCTGTGTACACGCACATATATATCATTAGAGCTCTCAAATTCAAAACAATCTACAGAACAAAATGGCTCCAAGATGCTTATGGAAAAATTACCTCGTTTTGCTTAGAAGAATGTTGATTCACATGTTCAAAGCTCTTCTCAAGAGTTGAGTTCTTAAGTTCCACATTCATTGCTCCAGAGTAGGATTCCATAAAGGTTTCCTTCTCATCCTCGTTAGACTCTTCTCCGCCGCTATCATCTCCAAGGTCATCAAAATCCATGTCCATGGAAGATCCTTCTGTGCCATCACTATCATCGTCAGCCTGTTCTTGACGACCTTGGCTCCCTAGTATTGACTCCATATCCTTCATGAAACGGTCGACATCTAGATTTACTTCTTTGAAATCCCTACAGAAGTCAAGCAAAGAAAATACACTATCTAAAAGCTTGAAATTTGACATGATACCTAATGATTAACCTCATAAGAGAACAACAAAAATGAGATTTTCAAGGGGCAGATGCCGGAAAGATGATTAATGTTCAAGAAAATAACCTGTTTTCTGGCACTTCTGCTCCTTTGTAACTTGACACCTTCTTGATGAATTGTTCCATCGACTTTGAGATATCACCAAGATCAAAATTGTTCACGTTTGATTCAGATGAGCTTCCAGCTTCTTGCTTCTCCTTTGCTTTCTGTTTTCTTTCCTTCTTTGAGTTATAGAACTCCATCTCTTTCTGCCTCTCTTGAAGAACAGAGTTTAACTCATCCCCACCATCGTAGAGCCAAGAATCACTGTCAGAAACAGGAACTTCCTGACCCTTGAAGTCATCCTCCGAATACGGTAGAGCAAGAATCTCATCAATACGTCTCACAGGCGCACTCATAATGTCTCTGTGCACAAGAAAACAAGACATCAAGATCATAAACAAACTCAAAAGATGAATCCTTTTCACTCACGACAGAAACAAATAGCAACCAGAACCTGCATTAAATAGCAACCAGAACCTGCATTATTACCTTATTCTTGAAACGGATGAACTCTTCTGGTAATATTCCTCGGCATTCTCCATCAACCTCTTGTACTCCTTCGAGCCACAAAGCAAACCTTCAAAATAACCATTCTTCTCGAGATTGTCCTTATACTTGCTCCAGCTAATCCCTTTCCCATCTTCTCCTTCCTTCTTCCTCTGCTGATACATCATTTCCATACCACAAGCGATTTTCATCCCTAGCTCGGCTTCTATGTAAGCATCCCGATCGGTAATGCTCGGCATTGGATAGCAACTGGGTGCCTGAAACTTCTGCTGCACCAGCTGTGCGTACATTGCACGCGACATCTTGACAATCACCAGCACGAGCTCCTCCTCTCTTCGTTTGCTCAGAAACTTCTCCATCTTCGCTGCGTGTTTCATTGAATCCACATCACGATCGTAAAAGCCTTCCACTGCTAGCGAAATCAAGAAAGGTTCGTGCTTGAGCACCTGCGCCACCGAAACCGGAACCCTAACCCTAACACGATGCATATTCCTCCACGCTCTATCGGGATAATCGGAAATCCGGTTCTTCAACGCGGTTTGAACTGAATCCGAAGCTCGAGATTCGTGACTACGCTCGACGAGAAACCGCAAGGACGCAACTAAGGAAGGATCCGGAAGGCGGCTACGGGGGACGATGTGGAGCTCACCGCCGCGAATAAAGACACGGTTGCGACTCGTCTCGGGATTGAGCCAACGAGGGAGGTGAAAAGCAGCTTCGATGAGGAGAAACTCGCCGTCGGTGTCCCACACACGGATGGAATTAGACGGGAACGCTGCGGAGATGCGGAAGAGCAAGAACACAGCGAACCATTCGTCCTCTAGATTGTCACCATACTTGAGCTTCCCGTGAAGATGAGGCATCGCAGTGTCGGTACAGACGCAAGAGGAGGAGAGAGCGATAGAGAGGGAGAAAGGCTCGTGTTGCCATATGTAGGGAGAAGTGAATGGAGAAACGAAATCGATGATTTCCAGGTGAAGTGATTGAAGAGCGGCGGAGCTTTCCGATCCTGCGGCGGAGAGGGAGGCGTCCGGGAATATTGAGAAGAAAACGTGGTCATCAGGGAGACGAGAAGGGGTCTGAGAGAAGAAGGCTGAAGAAGAAGATGAAGTTTCCGATTCGAGCTTCGCCATAGTTATTTCTTCTTCTGATGACGAGTTAACCGCCGACGATTGATTTATATAAACCTGACGAATACTTAAACCCTCTGGCTAAATAAGAAGGTTCTGACTATTATGAAACTATATCAATTATGTACTAGAAAATGTTTGAAAGTACCTAAACACCCTTGACCTGGTTCTCGCTCCCGTTTCTCTTCCTCGGAAGAAAGAATGTACTAAAAACACAATACCGAAAATTGATTTTGTGTTATCTTCCTCTTTTACGATGTGTTACGGTCACAATCAATCGTTATCGCGCAGCAGCCTCCGTCGCCGATCGTACGACGGAGACAACGACGATACGGTGGTCGACGACCTTCGAGAACGGCTCGCGGAAACGGAGGCGCGGCTGCGAAGAGCCAGGGCTAGGGAAGCCGAGCTGAGCCGTCGGTTAGAGCAGATGAAGAGATTCGTTTCCGTCATGGAGATCATGGAGACTTTCTTGGAACGACGATTCCAAGAGCAGAGAGACCGAATCGCTCGTCTTTTCTCTCCGGTATCGACGAAATGAAGGGTGTTCTTCTCTCTGGCGTTGCGCGATCTTCTTCTTCTTCTTCTTCTTCCTCTTGTTTGTTTGTTCTTCTTGATGTGAATTTCTCTTCACTTTTGAATGTCCCTCGTTGTTTGTGTTTGGTAGTATCAGTTAATCGGAATTTCAGGAAATACAGAAATTTTCGATTCTCCATAGATTATGTCTTGTTGAGGATTAAAACGAAAAAGCTTTATTTCCCCTTGGATCATGTTAAATAAGATGTGTAATCGAAAATTACAGAATTAGAAATCCTTTGAGTTCTATATATTTTTGTGAGTTCGAGGTTATACAAAAGAATCTAGGAAGAAGCTTGTGCTGCTCTTTTGCTATGCCAGTCTTGAATCAGAGAACGAAGAGTATGGTTTGGTGTAAGAATCTGGTAATCTAGCCTCAGATTTGTCATAGGAGATGTGTCATGTCCCATGCCTAGCCATTCTTCTATGGCCTCAAGCTCATACGAAAACCCATCTGCTGCAACATGTGGATTCTTCATCACCTCCTGCAAAGACAAGAACAAGTTATAGATTGTGGAATCACTTTCTCTCGAGCCAATGCTATATATGGAGAAGGAAAAAAGAGATGGACTTTGGCTTGACCTGAAGTATGGGACACATGAAAACACTCGGTATGTCATTGGGATCACCTTCATCGATGTTCGAATTGGTTGCTTCCTCGTACCCTCCTATGTTTCTAAACTCATCAGCTTTTGCCCTTATCTTACCAAGTTCTTCCATGATCTCTTTGGTTGAAAATTCCATGTTCCCTCCTCTGTTAACTGAAGAACACTTGACAGCAAGTGCACCAAACTCCTTAGCTAACTCCAACGGCCACTTACCAGCTGTTTGATCCAAGTCTCTGAGAATACTCGTCTCGTTCATCGACATTGCCTTGAGCAAACCGGGCCAGTTTCTCCCAGTTAAAAGATGCACAAGCAATACCCCAAAAGCCATCACATCAGGTTTCGTATCAGATTGATCACTGTGCATTATCAGTCCAAACCCAGTTATCTTCGGTACGAGGTTACGGTCCAAGAGGATCTTAGACGGCGTAAGGCGACCATGGACAATGGGTTTAGGCTTAACGGAATGGAGAAACCCGAGTCCAGAGCAAACCTGATGAGCTATACGTATCCTATCATGCCATTTCAATATTTTGCTCCTCCTAGATTTCCTCTGCGATGTGAATAGATTATCCCTCAAGTTCCCACTATGCATATATTCGAAGAGTATGCATTTAGGCTTCTCTGAACAGAACCCAGCGATGGCTACCAAATTAGGATGCCTAATCTCATTCAGAAGCTTGACTTTTGCTCCAAAACCCTCATCTGATAAACGATCACCAATCACTTTCACAGCCACGGTTGTATGTTTGATCCTTCCTCGGTACACATTCGTCCAATTACCTCCAGATTTCAACCTCAATCGATCAGAATAACTCTCCGTGGCCAATATGATATCCTCTGCAACATACTCTCTATACCCACACTTCACTTCTTCCTTGGAAACCAACCCTATCGCCTCTTTCTCTTTGCAAAACGCAATCCTACGGTTAAAAACATCTCTTTGGTTCCTAAGTTTCTCAATCTCCATCATCGTCTCTCCTTTCATTATCACGACCCTCTCTAGCTCGGCTTCAGCTTTGGATTTAGCCTCCATCATTGTCTTGACCTTGCTTGAGAGCTCTTCTCGAAGCTCCCCAAGGGAAACAAGCTTTGTTTTTCCTTTCTCGACCTCATTCCTTGCTTCTTCGATACATTCTCTATCCGAATCTAGCACCCCTTGAAGCTTCTCTCGTTTCTCGCTTTCTTCTTTTATCCCAGCTTCAAGCTCTTCTATCTGATTCAAACAAAACGAAAAGATAGTTCTTTTTTGTAAGATTCTGAATCTAAGTTCTTGTTAAGTATCATCAGTCCAAAAGGTTTGGTTTTTGTTTACTCTGCAGTTGCATAAAGAGATTGCCCAGTCAGCTTTGTCTGATCTCTCAGCGTTGACTTTGACTTCTCTCATTTTCTCTTCTGTCATCAGCTTAGCTTCATTAACCTTTCTTCTCACATACTCTAACTTCTCTGCTACATTCTGACATTTTCAACATATCAAAATTCAAATCATTTTAAAAACAAATCAATAAAAAAAAAAAAGGTATATTCTCTCAGGACATAGTTTCTTTTACCATATGTTGCAGCACGTCTAGTGCCACGCCATCATCATCATCATCATTATCTTCGACAGCGTTTTCGTCTTCTTCGAGATTCAAACTCAACAATTGCTGGAAATAATTCTCCATCTCCTGCAAATTATTATCCCATGGACTTCCACTAGCCGTTTGATCATCATTGTTGATAGATGAACGGTCTAGATTTCTTCCCGGATCATGGAACATTTTACCAATCCAACTTCTTATATTGTTGTTGTTGTTTACATCGTTCTCTCTCTTTAGCGAAACCATTTTGCCTCCACAAATTATATGAAATTCGCAAAATTCTGGTTTGTTTTGATATACATAGAACGATCCGCTTATTGCACTTTTCGTTTTCCTGCATTACACAGAATAAGAAAAAATTGCAATTTTGGATGGTTCAAATTGAGAATTTAAGATTTAGACATGGTCAATTCACCCCAAAAAAAAAAAAAAAAAACCTTGTACCAAGATGATGAAGATCTCATGAAAGTGATTCCCATGACGAATTTTGTGATTCTAAGCTTTGAGATCAAATCTAATATTAGCACTTGAACTGAATCATCTTGCTTCTCAACCTTAAGTAACTCTGCTTTCACCTGTAACTGTAATTAAAATACTTCCCAAAATTACATCCCAAGACCCCAAACAAAACAGATTACTTAGACTTCTCCCCTGGAAAAAAATAACAGAAAAAAGGACAAACCTTTCCACAAAAAGTAACGTATTTAGACAACAATTTGTTGATCTTTTGCTCTTCGTATTTCCTGAGAACTTCAAGCTTTTCCTCGCTCACAGAACTCGCTGGGAGCTTCCCAACTGTATATGATGATATAATCACATGTAAATTGGGTTTGATATGATTATAAAGAAAGAAGAGGTGTGATTTAAGAAGAAAGAGATTATACAAGGGGTGTAAACAAAATCTTGTGAAATGTAGCAGAGATGGAGAAGAACAATGGAGATTGAGATGTTGTTCCATTTCTTTAAAGCCCAATCGATGGTCTTGAAACCTTCTTGTAAATCGTTTCCTACAGCTATATATACTTTCTCCGTTGTTGATCCTTCTTTGATTTCATGATTCTTCATTTCCTCCATCTTCTTCTGGTTTTCTTGATGACGGAAAAAAATGATAAAATTTAAGGTTATGGGTTTTTTTTTTCCTGTTTGTGTGTGTTTTGTTTTTGTATATGATGTGTATGGTTTTCAAAGACAGATTTTGGTTTTTATGTGAATGTGTTTTGAGAGATCGAGTTTTGACTTCTGTATCTTGTTTACTTGACTACGGAAACTACCTGGAAAAAAAATAATAATAATACAAAACATGAAGTTACAAGTTCAACGGAGATAAAAGAAGAAAATGTCTTTCCTTCAACGTTTATTTCCATATATATTTTCTTCCTCCCATTTAACCTTGATTATTAACAAATGGTTAAGGTGATAATACTGGCAATCTAACATTTATATTTTTAAAACCAAAATAATTGAGGTGTAGAGAATTCTGACGACGTGTTAGCTTGTAACAACGAGGTGATCGAAAGCAAATCTATCCAATTAGGGTCGAGTTTGACTACTGAGTTGATCTTATAGAACTTCAATAAATATCTAAGAGAGACAATAATTCCAAATTCTATTGGTTGGCTTTTGGAAGTGATTTTTTTTTTCTTTCCTGTTGTAAGTTGTAAACCAATACCCAAAATACTGTATATATGCATTGATAAGCATTTTGTTATGCGTAAAGAACGATTGTTTAATCATAAGTATGTAATTAACAAAAGAATTAGTCATGAAGGCTACGTGGACGAAGGAGTAGGTAATGTAACAATTGACAATTTTTGAAGCTTAAAGTAGGTAATGAATGATAATAAACCATAAACTCAAATTAGTCGTTCTACCATTTCATCTGTGCACTGAAATTCAACTCCAAATTCTTCTGAGTTGGGTTAAATGGACCATTAGACACTTTAATTAAAAATAGAAGATAACATATGATATTAGTTGTCGAATGGGACATGGACCAACGAACTGGTAATGTAACAATTGACTATTTGAAGCATGAAAATAACATTCATAAAAGAAAAAAAGCATGAAAATAACATCAAAGTGTGTCATCAAATTGATTGGATTTAAAATCATTTGTTTAATGTCTTTTCTTTATGAAAAGAGTCTTGTGCATAAAGGCTTTTTGGAAGACCCGTTTTAATATGATTATGGAAGCCCACCAGAGCTCCTTTTATTTTTTTCTAACTGAGCCCATTGGTAGCCTAAAGTACATAAACGTCCTCCGAGATTATAACTATCGGTATTTGGTTTTCTGAGTCACGTCAATGTCAATGTGGATGTATATAAGTCACATGTAAAACATATGCGTTAAGCACAAACTATAATTGATGGTATAACAATAAATTCCTTTTTTATATGTCTGTATTATCTGTATTTCTGATGATGACCCAATATATCATCCAGTGAAAATCATTAATCTAAAGGATCAGATGATTATATCATATATGACGACAACGTTTACACTTGTTAATAACAATTACTGTACCAAATGAATGTGTCTATGCTAATCATGTCTCATACTAGTTATTAAAAATAGTAAACTGGTGTGAGTGTGAATCCAAGATGAAATTAGATAGCTATTTACAGCTTGCAGTGTCGCGTTTATTCTTTTTACTTACACGGCTGCAATGTTTGACTAATTAATCACACTCCACGTATGCTTTTGTGGTTTATTTTGTCGTCGGTTCCTTTTTAACCATAATATATTCTCCTATTTGTTTCACTATTAAATTAATGGTCGTTTTAAAAAATAGTTCGTATTGTATAGAGAGAGTTTTGTAGTTTTAATTTAAAGCATTGTTTGAGGTGTGGTAATATTACTACCCCCAAGTGGTTTGTTGCGATGCATACACGATTAGTTTCAAGAAACAATAAACATATTATATTCTAGCAAGTATGCCATTTAATACTATTACACGTACAAATTGAATAAAATTTGTCACGTTTATACCATTTTTGTCTTTACGAGAGTATTCTAATTAAATATTGTTTGTCACGTTTATACCATATCGTCTTTACCAGAGTAGGGAGGGAGTATAAATATTGTTGATGCTTAGCTTAAGATGGCATAAATACTAAATTATAGTCATGCCAAGATGAATTATACATATTTAAAATCGACACCCAAATTACTATGCATAGTGTTTTTTATCAGGAGGAACAAAAAGAAGTAGCTAGAAGGTCTAGTTTAGGAAATTACGACAAAATAAAGATTAAACAAAAGTTAGGCGTAGATTATTAAGATAATTAAGAGATGACAAGGGCGCACGTGCGTCACCGAATTCATCGACCAGAAAAATGATGAATCGAAAGATGCTACGCACGTGCCTCTTCGGTCAAAGATCAAAAGCTGTTAGCAGTTAGCACCTTCCCAACAAATATTGTACCTTATAGCCGAATTGCACAATTAATTACAATCATCGCGTTTAATTTCAAAGCCTGGGAACAGAGCAATAAGCTAAGAGAATTTGATTTTTTTAAAATCGATCATATTCTATTTGTTGGTCAATATTTGGATCGTATGAAAAGTGTTTGATCGCGTTATTGCGCGATAATCGTGTGACTACAAACGATGGGCCATTTGCTAGATTTAGACACGTATACTCGTATGTATGTATTTAAGTAGTTACAACTCAAAACATATATATGTATAAACAACGATTGTTTCATGCATATAGGTTTGCAAGCTATGAAGTAAATCGAAGAGAGAGATAAGCCATCAAGCATTCGATAGAGAATGGGTAGATTTAACTACGTATCCCCACGGGCTATGCCATATATACATGTAATTAAAGAATTTTGGAAGCAAAGAGTCGCTGAGAACCTCTAAAAACAAACAAAAATCGCTGAGAGAGCATTCATACGTTCAAATAACAGTTGTACTAGTCTACTAGAGAAGCTGTAACAAATGTAGGAGAGAAGCTGCGAGTAATAAGTGTAGAAAAGGAATTAAAAGCATGTTTGACAAATTTTTTGGGTATTAAAAAAGAGTATAAAGAAATTTTAAACTTTTTATAGCAACAACAGCACTAAACACGATCCATGGATTAATACTCCTTTTCGAAATTTATTTCCAACGTAGAAATTTGAATTCGTTGTCTGGTCCATTTTTTGAAAAAAATACACCAATTGCATTATCAATGTCGTCGGATAAGAATACTTTGTTTAGTATGTAATGTTTCAACTTTCAGTATTATGTCCCATTTGGTTAAAAAATAATAGATTCGACAAAAATTTAAAATCATTTAATCCGATCGTTTTACTGGAGAGAGTCGAGAAAGTAAGTAATTGTATATAACATTTTTCATCGTAAAATTACACTAATAGGCTATAAGTTGGCGATAGATATGCCGATTATGAATGCTAAGGTAAGAGGTTGAATAAAGTAGAATTATAGGATACGAAATGCTCTAAAAAAAACAAGACATTAGGCCTTAATCACGTGCCTTAATTGCTGGGGCCTCCCTTTTGCAACATATTTAAATTAAATTTTTGCCCGTTTTTTTTTTACAAAGGGAACCCGCCTTACCATCTGGATCGGAAGGTTGTCTCCTCCACCACACCACAGGCACAAGACATTTCTTTACATTTACATACATAATTTTTATAACAATTACAGAATTTTCTATACTCTAGTACTCCCAATTTCACAAAAAGTGTCATTCTGATATTTTACACACTTATTATGAAAACTATTAAAAATACTATTTTGCCTTTCATTAAATAATTTTTTTCTCTAATTAATACATTAAATCAATAAGGTCAAAATTGAAATATTATTTAAAATTTTGCATTGAAAATATAAAACGACACTCTTTGTGAAACAAAAATAAAACCTTAAAACGACACTCTTTGTAAAACGGAATGAGTAATATTTGATTGGTTAGAGAGCAAAGAGAAAAAATGGGTGTGTTTTTTATTTTTTTTGTCAAACTGTTGAATTTTATAGATAAATTAACCTCTCCAATGATCATTAAATACACAGTTTTTTTTTTTTGGGCTTTATTCGCTTAGAATTTTTGGAATGAACAAAATCTTATGTTGTCGAGGATTATTATGACCATGTTCTTATAATCTGACCATCGAGTGAAGATGAGTTAAGTTCGCTTCCAGCGACCAAAATATAACGTGTTAATAATGATGTTTAAAAAATAGCAATGATTTCGACCAAAAAAATAGTAATGATTTATAGATAGAATTATCGAAATTTATCAAAATTTCTAATGTTTTTAAATACTATCATCTAAATTAGAAATATCCTAAAATTCAAAACAAAATAATGTTGTTCAGTTAACTTGTAGTTGTAGAAAAGTGAAACAAAATTTAGATTAGAATGATTTCTTGGTGTTGATTTAAACTTGGTTGGGTCCAATTCACTCAACTTAGGAATTAGAATACACATGGAATAACCTAAACCAACCTTAATCAATCTTTAGTTTTTTTTTGTTTGTTTGTTTCCTTTATAAGCATATTAAGTAATCTGCAAATATGATGTGTCTTTGCATAATTTTCAAAAGCAAAAGTGTCACATTTTCTCTCTCTCGTATCCTAATTACATTCACAGTCAGTTCTCTCTATAAAAAAATATAAAGTGGTCTCCTGTTTCTAGTTACTCTTCTTCATTCGTCTTCTTGTGCATTACTCTTATTAATCTTCGTCAAAAATTGCAGAACCTCTAAAGCTAAAGCTAGTGACTGTAACGCTTTATCAGGTTTTTTTTTTTTTCTCTTTTCAATTTTAAAGAAGGAGAAAACGATTTTCTCCTTATGAGTTGCTTTCATTAATCTTATTTTGTCTTCTTCTGCAGATTTTCAATCAAAAGTTTCAAACTTTTTGAAACTTTTCTGTTTCTCTCTCTTTCTCTCTCTCTCCTTTGATGGCGAATTGGTTAACGTTTTCTCTGTCACCAATGGAGATGTTGAAATCACCTGATCAATCTCACTTCGTTTCTTATGACGCTTCTTCAGCTCCTTACCTCATCGATAACCTCTATGGTAAAATTTCTTACTTCAATCCATGAATATTACTGTTAAAGAATCGTTTTTTTTTTCCTTCTCCTTTTTCACAGTGACGTATATGCGTGTGACTTTTGAAGCTTATCCTCTTTAACCGAACTTTCTCCTCCTTTTCTCGGCTGCTTAATTTGTCTTTTTCCCCAGAAAGGAGAAACAAAAAACAGAACAAGAGAAATGATAGATTCTTAAATCTTAAATCCCACAAGAATAACAGAAAGAGACGTCTCCTGATCTTTGTTTCGATTAAAAATCATCTCTTTTGGTTTCTCAGTGATTTTTCTCGGTGGAGAAACCTTTGTTTCTCTTGATTATCTGATTAGTTAAAGTTACTAACTTTTTTTTGATGCTCTTTTGATATTAGTTTTGAAAGAAGAAGCCCAGATAGAAACTGCTTCAATGGCGGATTCAACAACCCTTGCCACTTTCTTCGATTCACAAACCCATTCTCCGACTCAGGTTCCCAAGCTCGAAGATTTCTTCGGCGACTCTTCTACCTCCTTCGTCCGTTACTCCGATAACCAAACAGAGAGGCAAAACTCTTCCTCTCTCACTCGAATTTACGATCCACGACATCACACCGGAGAAGTTACAGGTTACTTCGCTGATCATCACCACGATTTCAAGACGATTGCTTGTTTTCAGACAAACTCCGGCTCAGAAATCGTCGATGACTCTGCCTCCATCGGACGAGCTCATCTCTCAAAAGGCGGCGAATTTCACGTTGTGGATTCGTCCACGACGGCGACGGCGGAGCTAGGGTTTCACGGCGGTTGCACCAACGGAGGAGCTTTGTCTCTTGCGGTTAACAACACTGATCATCCTTTGAGCCGCAATCATGGCGAGAGAGGCAAAAACAGTAAAAAGACGATAGTCTCCAAGAAGGATACAAAGGCGGTGGAATCAACTGATGATTCGAAGAAGAAGATTGCCGAAACATTTGGACAAAGAACTTCGATTTATCGAGGAGTCACTCGGTAAGTTAAATAACGAAATCTTTGACCTTTTTATGAGGGTGGGAAAAAGATTTTTGATTTCTTGATAATTTTGATTTGGGTTTTATAAGTTGGATTATTAAATCCAGTTAAACTTTTTTCTTCTTTATACTTGGAATGTGGGTATGAACAAGGATCAAGAAATCGGGTAATACTAAATTCAAAGTTTTGTTTTTGTTGTTGTGGGTGTGAAAAAAGATTTGATTTTTGATTGATAAAATTTGTTTTGAGGGTTTAATTAAGATGTTATGTGTAATTGATGTAGACATAGATGGACGGGAAGATACGAAGCGCATCTATGGGATAACAGCTGTAGGAGGGAAGGTCAAGCCAGAAAAGGACGTCAGGGTAAACATATTTTTCATTTATTTTTTGATAGTTTCTTTGATTCGAAAATCATATATGAAACATTACTTTCTTAAATCATTTGCCTTAAACCCTAATATGTAGTTTGTATGCATTGCATTTCACAAACCATCATTTTAGCAACTGTTGAGATCAGTTTAGACAAACATGATCTAACAACATTCTTGTGTTTAAAACCAGCGATTAGCAATTGTTGAGACAAATAAGTATTGTTGAGTTTCTCGAGTATCTTAGTAGGGAAGATATACTTGTAGTTATCTTTCTCTGTTAGGGCTTCAAAAACCTTTTTGTCTTTAATTTTTACTTATTATAAAACCAAACTAATTTTATTTGGATAAAAAACATGTATTCTTTTACTTTTTATGTTTTGAGAAAAAAACAAAATGAGAGGGGAAGCACAGGTTTTGACAAAGAAAGAGTGAAAAAGAAAAATGCACGCAAAGATTCGATAAATAAAAGTTACTTATAAAGCTTTTTATTTTAGGTGATACCGTGATACGTCTATCTCTTTATGATGATTGATAGACTTTTGTACATGGCATAATGCGAAGGAAATAACCAAATTTTAAACTGGTAATTCAACCAGAAAGGACTAACAATAATAGAATATAGTATGTATTTGGTTGAATTTTTTCATTTCAAAGGTGCCGCCATTTTGTTCATTGTCTTTATTAGAGCAATCTTTCTTTCAAAATCTCTCATGTCACCTACATGGGACCCAATGCTGATGCCAATCTGATGCAATCTCTGTTCTTGATTGACATATTTTTGGACCCACCTTTGACCCTTTATTCCCATATTATTATTGTTATATGATATGCATGCATAGATATATATAGGCATGTGATGTGTGACTATTTAGACATTATGCATAAGTTCTTTATCTAGCTTTTGTTTTTGGCTTTTTCGTTTGAAATCGAATTTTTAAAATCTTTATTTTGTTCAGAGATTGATATGTAGGGTTCCTTATGTCTATAATGTGTCAGATTGATTTGTGTGTTGTGTTCACATCACACACAAAAGCAAAGTGTGATGTGAAGTTGTGAACACACGAGAGGAATCTAAGCTTTGACCCTAATCAAAACCCTTTTTTATGTGTTAGTATGATGAATTTACCACGAAATGTAGTAATTAGTAACAGGTAAATAGATTCAAATAAAATGAGATCAGCTATTAGCATTGTGAATGATCCTTGTATTGGCTAAACTTATATTTCTCTGTTTTGCATGTACTTTGTCAATATGGTTTTTGATTCGATCGCGGCTTGGACAGTGTACTTAGGTAAGCGAGATAACACTCCATTGACATTTTTTGTATCGAATTGATATATCGAGTTTGGCAAATGATGTTCATTACGATTGATATAAGGTGGATATGACAAAGAAGATAAAGCAGCTAGAGCCTATGACTTGGCAGCTTTAAAATACTGGGGTTCTGCTGCTACTACAAATTTTCAGGTTTATGTTCTTCCAATTTCTTTTTTTCACTCTTTCTGTTTACTTTGCTTAGATTCACGTACGTGTGCCCATTGGTTAACTTGTCATCGTTTTATGGGGTTATATAGATAGCGAGTTATTCGAAAGAATTGGAGGAAATGAATCACATGACCAAGCAAGAATTCATTGCATCCCTTAGGAGGTAAGTCCAAATCACTATAGATCTTGATTTCTTAACCGGAAGATTTATAAATTATTTGGTTATTTGGTTATATGTAAATATATTCAGGACAAGCAGCGGTTTCTCAAGAGGAGCATCGATATATAGAGGTGTCACAAGGCATCATCAACAAGGTCGTTGGCAAGCAAGAATCGGCCGTGTCGCAGGAAACAAAGATCTTTACCTCGGAACCTTCGGTAAAAAAAAAATAAACAAATAATTCTATAACAAGAAAGAACATATTGTCCTGGAAAATCCGTGCTTATCGAAAGAAAACATATTTGATTCGTATAGCTACGGAAGAGGAAGCTGCAGAGGCTTACGACATTGCAGCCATAAAGTTCAGAGGAATCAACGCAGTGACTAACTTTGAGATGAACCGTTACGATGTTGAAGCCGTCATGAAAAGTTCTTTCCCCGTAGGAGGAGGAGGAGCTGCGAAACGCCATAAGCTCTCTCTTGAATCTCCTCCTCCGTCTTCCTCATCTGACCGTAACCTTCAACAACATTTGCCTCCGTCTTCTTCCTCGGAATTGGACCCTAACTCAATCCCGTGTGGGATTCCGTTTGAATCTTCAGTTCTCCACCATCACCAGGACTTATTTCAGCATTATCCTGCAGTCTCTGACTCTACTACAGTTGATGCTCCTATGAACCAAGCTGAGTTTTTCTTGTGGCCTAACCACTCTTACTAAATCATAATGGTTTCTTCCGTACTAATGTTGGTTTATGGACTCGAGGCTTATCTTCTTGATTTTGGCTATACCCTATTTAGCTGACAAGAAGATTGCACTTTCGTTGTCTTTTTGTTTTTTGTTTTTTTTAACTGTAGACTAGGAAGAAGCAGAGTGGAGAAAAGTTTAAGAAGCTGAAACTTTTGGGGTCAATTTTGTAGTAATGTATTCCTTTGGTTAGCGGTGGTTTATTGTGGGATTTAGTAATTTTATTTTTGTATGTAATCGGCTTATCGGTATTACTCTGTTTCCTCCATTTATGAAAATATCTTTCTCAGATTTTCATATTTTCATCACTCTATTAACACATTATATTTTTACAAAGAAATCGAGAAAGGAAACAGGTCACCACTGTATATAAATCATTATGGGTCACCGATTGAGTTTCCTATTCAATAGCCATGAATTGGAAAGAATCAAAAATATCATGCTACAAAGTGAAATTACAAGAAGTTGCAAGAGGAAAAAAATACTACGAACTAGCCCGGTCCTTCTCTCATGCATCAGGACTCTGTTGGGCTTTTAAGGCTTCGTTAAAAGCCCACTGGGCCTTCTCTTTGAAGCCCTTGTACTCATAACACTCGCCCAACAGACGGAATATTCTCGCCGTATCTGTGCCGGCGGCGAGCCTAATCGCCTCTTCCAGATCTTCGATCGCAGAATCATTCCTCCGCCGCCGATTCACAGCCAGCTTCATCTCAGCTCTCTTCACAAGCGCATCGGCGCGTTCTCCCACCGAAAGCGACTTCAGTTGAGGATAAGTCAGCGCCGTATCGAAAGATTTGAGAGCGGCGGCGTGGTGACCGAGCAGATCTAGAGCTAGGGCACGGACGATGTAACCGGCGGCGTCGTATGGGGAAAGCGAGATCACATCGTCGGCTTCGGTGAGTGCCGTCTTAGCGAGAGACTGAGATTGGGATTTCTTGTTTGTGGTTCGAGCCCGAGCGAGGAGACGAGAGGCTTGGATTAGCTGACGCTGGGTTTGGAGTGTGGCTCGGTGTTTGGTTCGGAACTTGGTTATGCCTTGTTGAGACAGATACTTAATCGCCCAGAACGTAACGAAGGTTAGTGCCAAAATTGCTCCTTGTATGATTATTTCCGTATCCATGTTTTTTTTTTTTTGCTCTCTGGAAACTAACAAGACTAAACCAGAGACTACTATATATATAGTACTCTATTTTCTTTCTATTTTTCGTTATTCACTTACAAGTTCTGAGATTTTTAGATTTATCATCCGGATCGAAATTTTCTACAGCTTTTTAACAAGAAGAAACAGAGACAGCCACAGGGTTGAGGACAAAAGCATAAGCTGAGACTAGAGGCAGATTATACATACAACATTTTCCCTCTCTTGGAGATTTTTACAATGGAGAAGATGAAGCAAAATCACAGGCAATTAAAGAGGAAAAGGAAACACGTGTTGTTGTTGTTTCTTCTCCTTGGGAGGAAATTTTAAATTCACTCTTTTGTGTGTATTGATTTTATCAGACCGCTTCATTCCATCAAGAGTTGTCTATGCCGAGTGAGATCGTTAAGGTAAGAGGAAGAGGTGTGATCTTGTAGGTCACACCCGTCGAGACTCACTCTTCTTGCTCCACATGATATCTGTTGCAGCTCAGCTAACCGGTTATCTCCACGCAACAGCTGCACCAACTGCCATTGAGATAAACCAAACAAATTCATCATCCAAGTTTGCTTATTATAACCACTAAATATAGTGACACTGGTCTTTTTTTTTTGGAACATACCCGGTTCATATCAGGACGCATACTGGCTACATGGTGTATGCACATTGAAGCTGTTTGCATTACCCTTTTCATCTCGGTTTCGTCAAAGTCATTTCCTAGCTTAGGATCGACTATTTCTTCCACGCTGCTCTTCTCCAGAAGCGGTTTCGCCTTGCAAAAGAAGCATTTTGATTCTTTCTTTCATTTCGGAAGATGGAAACTGCTTACAAAGTAGAAGACAAGTTTCAGATCATTACCCACATCACAATGCTTTGCCGGCTAGCTGTATCGACAGCTCGACGACCAGTTATGATCTCTAGAAGCAAAACCCCAAATGCAAACACATCCGTCTTCTCATCAACAATCCCGTGCATAAAGTACTCTGGAGCTAGATACCTGGAAGGTAAAAATGCAAAGAACCAGAATGGTTTTGGATTCAAACATCAGGTTCAAAAAAAAAAGTTCGCTCAAGAGATTTTTTTAGCTGTGGAAATCTGTGTCTGACCCGAATGTGCCTTCGATAGGGAAAACAATGTGATGAGGCCAATTCTCTGGGAGCCACTTAGCAAGTCCAAAATCCGATATCTGCCAAAAACATTACATATCGATTCTCTATCAAGAACAGAGAAAAAGTTTGGTTGCTTTTTTGGGGGGGGGGGCTTGATTGAATGAAGCAAATACCTGAGCTTGGTAATCTTGACTAAGTAAAATGTTGGAAGCTTTGATGTCACGGTGAATAATCCGTCGAGGGCAATCATTATGAAGATAGCTCAAACCATCAGCTATACCCAGAGCCACTTTATACCGTTTATTCCAGTCCAAGCACTCGTCAGATATCGATACACGATCGAGAGGCT